GTTTTAAGCCACCAGGTCCGGGATGCGAACCGCGGTCGATTACGTGGGAGTCCAGCGACATAGCCATTACACTAACTGCTGGTTCCCTTGCTTTTTACTTTTTTTATGATTTTTTATTGCACAGAAAGTGTTTAATATTTAGCTAACTCAACCTTTTTATATTTTTTATTTTTGCGTGTGTGTTTATGTGTGTTTGTCTATAGTTTATTATTATTATTCGTACATTAAATCGCTATACATCATTTAGATTGTGAAGAGACTCTATCCAGCATGGTTTACACCTCAGTCCAGCCCAGTTGAGACCACCATACACTTCCTTGACAACAGATAATAAACCTTATCTGTGTCCCACAAGTGTCTTACTTCTCCATTTCCCCCTCCCCAATTTCTTTTCCTACGGTCTTCCCCTCCCACAATCTCTAAATGGACATTTTGTCTCTAGTGTCCATTACAATTTTTAACACTTATATGTTCTCCAGTCTTTCAGTCTCTACCACAGAGTGCAGACAGTTAGTATATGTTAAGTGGAGACATACAATGTCTCTCTTTCATAGCCTGACTTGCTTCACTCAGCAACATATCTTCCATATTCATCCACTTTCTATCAAATTCCAGGGCCTTGTTTTTTATGGCTGGATAGTATTCCATGGAGTATATGTGCCATAATTTTTCAATCCATTCATCAGTTTGTGGACATTTGGGTTGGTTTCAAGTCTTAGCAATCGTGAATAATGCTACAATGAAAATAGTTGTGCAAGCACTTTTCCATCTGAGTGCTCTCCTGTCCTTTAGGTAGATCTACCCGGGAGTGGAACTGCTGGATTATGTGGTAGTTCTATCTGAAGGTCTTTGAGGAACCTCCATATCTTTCTCCACAGTGGCTGGACCAATTTACATTCCCACCAACAGTGTAGGAGTGTCCCCCTTTCACCACATCCCCTCCAGCACTTATCATTATTATTATTATTTTTTTAATCTTCGTCATTCTGACTGGGGTTCGGTGGTATCTCATTGTGGTTTTGATCTGCATCTCCCTTACAATAAGGGATGTTGAGCATTTTTTCATATGCTTTTTGGCTGTTCATATGTCTTCCTTAGAGAGTTGTTTATTCAGCTCATTTTCTGATCTTTTACTTGGGTTAATCATTTTCTTCCAGGTAAGCTGCTTGAGTTCCCTGTGTATTCTGGTTATTAGTCCCTTATCTGAGACACAATAAACAAAAATTCTCTCCCATTCTGAGGGTTGTCGATTCACACTAATTATGGTGTCCTTTGATGTGTATGGTGTTTTAACCAGGGTTTCAGTATGGCTTGCTCCTCCTGCCTCAGCCTTCTGAGTAGATGGGGCTACAACTTTGTGCCTCTACTAAAGCCTCTCATATGACCTCAGCCCACTAAGTAGTAGTGTTAACCAGCACATACTAACAGATCTGGGCCTTTGTTTTTTCTTTTTAAGTGATGAATAATAATCATATGCATTTATGAGGTAAAATGTAATGTTTTAATCTATGTATACAATGTGGGATGATTAATCAATCTAATATATCTATCATCTCAAATATCACTTTTTATGGTGAGAATATTTGAAATGTTCTCATATCAATTTTGATATTTTCTAACTAATTCTCATATAGCAATTACTTGTAAACCAACACATCTCTTTAACAAATGTGTTGATAAGCTGATAAAACAAACCACATGCTTTTAACTTTCTTTAGACTTCTTTTCTTACCTAAAAAACATGTTGCCAATGGTATCACATGTATGGACAGTCTCCGTGGTATGGCCTTTGCAGTTGGACATCACATACTCCTGAAAAGCCTCTTCCTTCCACGTTCCTCCCTCCTGTTCTCACCAGTACTACTACTTGGGCTCAAAGGCTGCCTGTGCTACCACAGCTCCCACTGGTACTGCCAAACACTGGCCTTGCTTCTTTTCTTGTCCCACTGACAGTTATGGAAGATAGCAAGCATTTGAGGAAGAAAGGTATAGATTATAAAAAGTGAGTGCTTTGAGACCAGCACATGGCATAATGGTTGTTACATCACTGGACTCGCATGCAGTGTACCACAATTTGAGTCTCGGACCCAGCAGCTTAAAACTCATGCTGGGCACGTATACATTCATGCCTAAAATCCCAAGAGGAGAATGGAGAAGAAGGAATTGTGGCATGGCCATACCCCTGGGGGGTGATTTCTCACTTCTGTCTCTTCGATGAGCACATGTGCCCTGTGGCAAAGATTTCTCTGAAAAGAAAAAATGCTTTAACAATTTCTTGCCATTTACCTAAAATGAGATTGGTAAGGTCTCATATTTAATTTTTTTAAATAAGAGGTCTTGTTTCACAAACTAATCTGATTTACTTCGCCTTGTCTTTATCCAGGAGGTTGGATGATATTCACAATTCAAACGAGGTCCTAGAAATGCTACAAAGATCCTTTTCAGCCAGGAAGAGATAAGATAACGGGATCATATGATACATAAACTAGATCATTGTCTATATAGAAAAACTTTAGAAAGGCAAAGGAATATTACTGGTTTTCCTATTTTGGAAAGTCCTGGGCTCAAAGAGTTTGGTATATGTGTTGTCTTTATTATCTGTGACCACATAATTTATCACATTAATGTGCTCTTTTCCAGCTTATTCCATATGTGGGCACCTTTTGTTTCTCAATGTAAATATAATTTCTTTGCTACCTTTCTCATTTCCCCTATTATGCTCAATACTTAGTATTGGACTGATTAACAGATATAACCAATAATATATTTTTAAAATAAAATTGAACAGTTTAATGGTTTAATGAATAATAAATCATGACTAAATGCAGTACATTTGTAATAGTGACTCTATAAGGTAGTTACTGTATAACTGGTGGTGTCTCCTGATGTATTACTAACCTCATATGTTCTTTCTTACTTTCTTTTTATTTCTTTCACTGAAAGAGTAATGAATTTTAGATGGGTGCACCCTGCTAAGTCACATTAATAGGAACAGCTCTAACTACAGGTAGACTAGGAGGCTCTGGGGTAAGAAGTGAGGGGCAATATTCACTGCTCTGCTGACTTGAAGGTTTCATCAGTACAGGATTCCCCAGAAAGCCTTTGTTATAAACCATGCTTGGCTTCGAAAGATAACACTTCCCCATTCTTCTATCTTACTTGACTTTATCAAATTACCTAATTGTTACATTAGGAAGGCCAGAAAGACCCTAATCTCCATGAATTAGCAAGACTCACTAGGTAGGGTGAGTAGAGAAAGCCTAGTGACCAAGAGCTTCAGGAGGAAAAGGGGGCACAGCCTCAGTGGCA